ATCCAGGTCCAGACTGCCAGCAGTCGCTGAAAACTCCAGGCTCCCTTTTGCTGGCCTTTTTGCACTGAATCCTGCCTCAGGGTTTACCTGTGTGCCTAGTGAAAGACTGCAGCAAACCAAAGATTTTCTTCAAGAGCTGATGCCTACTTGTGTGAGCACACACGTGGGTGAGCAGCTGGACAGGAGCTCTTTGGACAGCAGTCCCACCAGTGGGACACAATGAAGGATGCTGTGGAGGCCAGGCTAATGGAGGCCTGGGGAAGAGCTGGCCAGTTTGCTGTTCCCTCCCCGGCAGACCTTGGCTGTGCATGACCCTCCTCCTGGTGCTTGAGCATCCATGCAGTCCCCCTGAATCACAAAAACATGAGCATGGGATGAGAGCCCCAAACCACTGAAGCGCCAGTGAGTGCCCTATTAAAGCCAACAGCAAATTGACATGCAAAGCCATCCCCAGGTTAACCAGAGGGAAGTGCTGCTGGGTGTCAGACCTGTGCCGCTGGAAGCAGGTGCAAGAAAAGTCAGTGCTACAGCCCACCCTCCTACATATTTCTTGGGAGAAGAGTCAGTTTTGGCTCTCTGAGCAATGTTATCCCAATTACAAGTTGGGGAAAGAAGAGAAACACCTTTCAAAGACAGCAAATGACACATTTCCTTGGTTTCTTATTTTTATGTTAAACACAACTTTGAAATATTCTGGGGATATATTTATCACACTATGAGAATACAGGATAGCTTTATGTAGCTACAACTTTCAAACACCCTCCTGAGAAACCTTAAAAGTTATGTACCAGCAATATTCTGGCTTCTTCACTTTTCAGAAGTGTTCAGTGTAAAACATGCTACTTATTTTTTCCTGGGGCATCAAACCAACAAGATCTGTTGACAAGCCTGTATTATTGTCAATGGCAGTCTCTCTTGGATGGTCTAGGAAGGATGTCCTGGGGGAAGACAGTTGACTGGAGGATGCTGTTTGTGCTCCTTGGCTGAGGGTATCATCGAATCATAGAATGCTTTGGGATGGAAGGGACCTTTAAAGGTCATCTAGTCCATCCCCCCGGCAATTGGCAGGGACACCTACAACTAGATCAGGTTGCTCAGAGCCCCATCCAGCCTGGCCTTGAATGTTTCCAAGGATTGGGCATCTACCACCTCTCTGGGCAACTCGTTCCAGTGTTTCACCACCCTCATAATGAAAAAAATTTTTCTTGTGTTTAGTCTAAATCTACCCTCCTTTAGTTTAAAACCATTACCCCTTGTCCTGTCGCAGCTGGCCTTGCTAAAAAGACTATCCCCATCTTTCTTGTAGGCCCCCTAAGGATTTTTGGAAGAGGTTCTTAAGATTGAAGCCTCCACTATCTACTAAGATGATGAGACATGGTTCCTCCATGGGAGGACCTCCATTACCTGCAAAGGTAATTTGTGTTTTCTTACACGTAGGTGAGATACTGAACAAGACAGACACGGAAGGTTTGCATGTGAAAAAGCACTCCTTGTTGAATAATCAGTTGGCTGCTTGTTTGCAGCCTCCTAGAGTACGTGCATAGCCTGTGAGCACACAGGCTCATAGCAAGCTATGTGAGCATACACAGAGTGAACTGCTACGTGGGATGCATTTCTTTGTCTGCAAACATGATTCTGAATGACATGGAATCCCCTTCTTGAAGTTAAAGCTGGAAGGAGACTTGTCTTGATGAGAGGAGTTCATGTTTGCCACAAAGGATTACCATTCTTCACAGGATCCACTTTTCTTTCAGTCTTTCTGACATTGATAATAATAGATACAGACATGTATACTAAGATGGAAATATTTATAGAAGGCAATTGAGGCAATGCCTTGAAAGTCTGCTCAAATATTCTTCTAGGGACTGAAAAACAAAAAAGCACTATTTTTCAGAAAATTGCTTTATGGGGGAGGAACGGCAAGGTAGTTCACAGGTGTATAAAATAATGTATAGGCAAAGTTGATGTTTGTCTGTGACAACCAGTCTCATCACCCAAATCAGTTGTCCCTCTCACAAACATACTGAGTCAATGAACATTGTCTTAGAGAAGACAGGAGATCTGACTTCTTACAAGCAATTAATTATTTTTCCAATGTGGAAGAAGATGCAAAATGTTATATTTTTGTTTGGTACAAGACTCTTTCTTCCATCTTCTCTGAGTGAGTGTGGTTTGATGCTTTTCTCATCTTGACAACCCTCATTCTGTTTTCTTTCCTGGAGGTTGGTCATGCTGCCAAGAGAGGGCAGCAGTCAAGCACAGAAACTGCATGCCTGGCCCTATATTAGGTCACACGGGAATTTAATTTAAGGGATCATTAGCACAGAAGCTCTGTGTCTTACTGTAATTACTGCTCAGTGCACTTAGCCCTCTGCCAATTCGTTCTCACTGCAAAAACAACCCTCTGAATTGTTGTCCTCTCTTTATGTTTTCTTTCAGACAAAAGAAATAAGCCCAAACTTCTGCTGAATCATTTGGAAGTTCTGTGCCATGGAGCATGGTCAGACAAACACCAGAGGCTGCTCTGGGGATGCTGTGTAGGAGGCATAGATCCCACACCTGCGTTTCCACAGCTTTACAGGGGACTGAAAGTGTGTGACAAACAAGTGTACAGCTATTTTATACCTTTATTTCCATGTGTAAGACATTTTCACAGTTCATGCTGTCACCTTCCTACTGCAGGCTGTGTTACCAAGAATAGACTGCTCTGCTCTTTAATGGGCAGCATTTTCTCTCAAATCCACCATTGCTGTAAGATCCAGAGCCACCTCCTTCATGTGTGAGACTGCATGATCAGATCACCACATACCCTTAAAAGCGTATTTATTCCAATATTTATTGACTTGATCTGGGCTGAATCCACTTTAGAAACAAAAGTAACCTAACTGGTTTTAATTTGGATAATTATTTTTACCTTAAAAAGAGCTGAAGTGTTTTGGCCCCTGCCTCTGGAGGCATTGGGTTCTCCTGCCCATATTTTTGAGATTACAACATTAAAACGCAATATTGACAGTGAGCTTTTGCTTAATGAGGAAAATGTCACGGCCTGATGGAAAACGGAGGTAGAGTGAGGGAGGGTCGGCGTAGACTTTATCTTACTGCAGGACAAAAGCACTGTTACTCTCTGGGTCTCTGCTCTTCCCACGTCAAAGACAGGTGCTGGCTCTTTGCCTGGTCACTGGAAAACACCTGAGGCTCTATTGATAAAATGGAACTAGCATTTAAGGGAAGAAGAAAAAGAAACCATCCCCAAGCACACTGTGTGGAGCTGGACGGGGCTAGAACAGCGGAGAAGCACAAAGTGCTGGATGACTCCTGCCGCCTGCGCTATACTTAAACGGACTAATGCTGGCTTAACCTTGCGTATAAAAAAAGGAAAAGCTGTGGGTCAGACTGAGACCTTGTTGTGGGAGACCTTGAAGGGCTTCTCAGGGCAGGAGGGGCTGAGAAAGCACCAAGCTCACAGGGAAGGCGTTCAGCTGGTGTCAGACCCGGATTGCTTTGGCAGGGGCGAAAAACCTGCGGTACCACTGGTGATCCTGCCCATTTCTCCTCAGCCAGGAGGCTGCACAGCAAACAGCATTTTATGGGGGAAGGAGATTAAAAGAGAGGAGGAGAAGCACAGGGAATGGGAGTGGTGGGGTTACACCAGGCAGACACTGCTCTCTGTGCAGGTACCGCTGCTCTTACCATCCAAGCCTGATCCTGCCCCAGATGTCCTCTGTAACCTGGGTGAGGGCACTGAAGCCTAGATTAATTTAAAGGCCAATTCAGTTGCCTAAATTCCCTGGAGGGTATGAGCCTTGGCTGCACTTTCACACTACAGCTAAATCCATCTGGTGGCTGCTGAAAGTGGTAGGACACCTCCTGCCCTGCTCTCCCCTGGGGGCTTTGCTCAGGTCTGCAAGTGGCGTAAGCAGAATTAAAAACCCTGGCTCCTCTGAATTCTTTGCACAAGGGGAGGATGCTCTTGTAAATTCAGCTCAAGCTATGCAAACAACAATTAAAGAAATAATCAGGAATCAGACAGCAAAAGGCTGGCCATTCAGTGTTCCACAGGTGCTGTGCCTTGTATCCCCAGAGCTGCCAGCGTTGGCTTCGTAGTGCTGCCAGCAGTCAGGCAGCCCCTGTGTATGACCTTCAATGATTTCAGCTGGGATGAGAGCACAGATCACACAGGGGACAGGTGACCTTCCACCCTGCCATCCCTATGCCAATGTCTTCAGCAAAGCACCTCCCTTTGCAGCATAGGAACCACAGCAAGAGCTGGACACCCCTGGATGGACTTCTCCATTGGTGGCAGCTGGTGGGTCTCCATGGGAAGTGCCTGGCGAGTGCTCAGCACCGACTTAATCAGCAAAAAGGGAACCATTGAACTCAAATTTATCAGCTTTTCTCTCAGCATTTCTGCCTTCTTTCACTAGCACGAGTAATAGCTTCCTCCAGTCAAACTAGTTTGTTATTTAAAAAAGGCACGGAATTCTTTTTTTATATTGTCCTTACACTCAGTAGCTCTTGTGTTTTTTTCTTTCTCTGATTATTTTTTTTTAATAGAGTGGAGAAAACAGTCATTAATCACACCAACACATCATCTTTCAATGTGTGTGTTTGTTGTAATAGGCAGTAATAACTCCAGACAAACCATTCTCAGCAGAGAGCAGCAAGAGGCTAACAGCTTGAGCACAGGTCTAAGAGACTCCAAGCCAATTAATGAACTGTGTAGCCTCTCTGCTGAAATCAGGGAGCCCACAAGCAGGGCTTCAGGAGTTTGCAGAAGTAGTGAGACTACTGAGGCTGTTTTCTGTAAGTTTGTGATTCCCCGTGCTGACAATGATGCACATGAATCCATCCAGATCCAGAACTTGCTGCAGAATAAATTTTGTGTTAAATCTGAAATAATCTTTGCAGAGATACCTTGTAGCAAACATGTCTTGGAAAACTTAAGTGATGCTGTGAATGGCTCAGCATGGACTATTATGCTACTGACAAAATTTTCTGAATGGATCTTGGTACGTGTTTCAGTCTTACACTTCCTTTGTCAATGTGCTCAATGGCATAAATTACAACTCTGTGATACCTGTGAGACCACTGAATAACCCACTTACCCAGGAGAAGACTTTTTTTTTGCCTTCCAGGCTGTTAATGCACCGTAAGAGGATAGTCCTGGCTTTGCAAAACAAGTGGAGAAAATTTTCCAGGAGTCTACACACAGGCAACAGTGAGAGATACAGAGGGAGGAAAGGGTGAAACAGAAACTAGAGCACTTGTCATGGTGAAAAACGGTGAAGACAGATAATGTTTAGAATAAGGCAGAAGTGATATTCCTTGCTCTTGTTTTATAAAGGAAGGGAAACTCTTCCTTTGGCAAAACTAATGGTAAAGTTTTCCACCAAGGCATGTTACTTAAGTGCTGTTGAATGCATGCCGTATATGAAGGCATGTCTGGCACTGTGGCTACTTAGAGGTACAGAATGCTGCCAACCCTAAACCCTAGCTATGGTTGGCTTTATCATGTGAACTCTGCTTTGTTTTCCATGAACAATGTACAGCTCTTCACATCTCGTAGCTGATACTGAAAAAGATTAATAAAAGAGGGATACTAGTCATTACAATGAAACCAATACATCACCAAAGGCACTCTACGAAATATGCTGCTACTTTGAGAAATGGGCATTTCAAAGATATTTTATTTTTGTTATATTTGGGAATTTTTTCCTATATAGAAAATCATTTTCTGATGTGTTTTGTTATTTCAAGAAACATTTTCTTGGCTCATTTTGACTAAACTTTGCTTGGCATATTCTTTAAGGGAAAAAAAATCAGACAATTATATTTGAGAGAATAGTGTGGGAGGCTGTGTTTGTCTTCAAGGCAAGTGTTCTGAGCTCAAGCTGGAAAAGGAGGAGAGCCACAGAAATGCCATTGTTTTGAATTACTTGCATTTTGTGCATTTCATATATCCTAGTTCTTGAGCATATTTGAACAGATTTAAGACAGATCTTCAGTGTTCCGTTTTCCTCCTGTACTTGATAGGACTGCTAGCTGTGATTCTGTAAGACAGCTTGCATTAGATTTCACTATAGTTTTGTATTGCTGATGTGGAATGTACTTGCTAAAATAGCATTGGAAATCTTTCCTTTTTCTGGTGGAAATTAAATTAAACACAATAATTTATTATTTTCTGAATGACTGAAATCTGGCTATTCCAAATATAAGGCCAGTCAGTTCTGAGCAAAACAATTTGTTCCTTGCTGAAGAGAAAAGGCAGCGAGAGGGGCTTTGGTGTCTGGATCAGCATTGATGCCATGTTTGTGGGAGGTAGCTGATGTGATAGCTGTGCCATTACTTGCACATGGTGGGATTTTGGACACAATGTTTTGTGTTCTGCCTCTGTTCCCTGTTTTGCAAATGAGGAGAATAACAGCTATGTATCTCTACCTCAAAAATTTAAGGTGGGAATCAGTTATGGACACACCATGTGCTTCATCCACGCGTGGGCTGTACCCTTGTGCCACAGGAAAGCAGGTTTGTGGAGCTGGCAGGCTGCTGGGTGTCCACAGCCCTTGCAAAGAGCCCTCAGTGCAGCTGGTCATGGTTCCTGGGATGGCAGAAAGTCCTGAGCAGGGTAGGGGGGCTCTCAGTTAATCACCCCTGTGTCCTGGACGCTGCGAGCGATGCCGATCGACAACAGGCAGCTGCCTGCAGGCAGAGGGGCACTTCTGACTCCAGCGCTGGGGAACAGGTCACCATAAGTGGGGTGGGCCAGGGCTCTGCTCCCCTCTGCCCGCCTTGCCCCAGCAGGGTGGCTGGAGTCACCAGAGCTCCTCGAGGAGAGCCACAAGCACTGTGAGCATGGGTGGAGGGTTTCGGCTGTGGAAGGCTTTCAGAGTTCCTCTGCCAGTGCTGATTCATTTAAGCACTGTCTACAGTATTTTTCACCTTTTTTATTTTTCCCGCCAGTGTAAATGTACTTTTTCCTGTGACGTTTAAAACAGTAAATGTTAAGACAACCTGTCTATAGCATACAGTCTATAAACCATACCAATGGGAGGACTATGAAAAGAAGACAGAAGGAAAAGAGAACGGGAAGAAGTCTAAGAGAAACAGGACGAGATGTGATCTGTCCTGGGCTATTAAGCAGCTAAGTGATTCCAAAAAGGGAAAACAGTTCTCAAGCTTGGACCAAACCTCAGCCACCCAGAGACTCCTGTTCTTGAGCTACCAAGCTGCTGCATTGTTGTTGCTAGTTATTTCTTCCACCTCTGTAAAACCATTCCTTCTGACTGCTCCCAGGAGACACCAGTTGCTTTGCTGGTAAGAAGTCTATACTTGCAGGTAATATCCTACTGTGCAGCTCTTGCGCAATGTCTGAGGGTTAAAGTCCCCAGGTCATTTACGCTTTAATGTTATTCTCTTTCAATAGCTAGTTCAGAAAAAAAGTGTTCCTGCAATGTGTTACTGTCTGCTCATACTGCTGCATGCTACCTGCCAGAACCACACAGACAGCTATCTTGTACACTAGGTGCCTACAAATAAGAATTGCCGTCTCATTTTCATGCAGAAATGTGTGCCTTGTCACTACTGATCAGTGCCCATCCTCCTGCCAGCCTTACCAGGATGCTTAGTTTGCTGCCCTGCTGGCTGACAACTGCCTGGCTGTTAAGCGAGGCTCTGCCTGGGAGTTGCAGACTCCAGCCGAATGAAACTCCAGTTATTCGTCTCAGGCTGCATTCGCTGCTGACCGCAGCTCTGCCGTACCTCTCCCAGGCAGCTGCCTTCATGCTACGTGCAGAGTTCCCCGAGTACGGCAGCAGAAGGCAGTACTTAAAAGGGTATGCAGGGATACTCTGGCAAAGGGAGGAAATTTGTACCCTGTGCTAAGAAAAGCCTAAGAAATGCGTATGTCATCCAGCTGTGGCCTGCCCCTGCTCTCACACTCGTGGATGTGAGTGCTGGAAAAGCAAGCTGGGTGACCCTACTCTGTCTTTGGTACGGTAAAAGAAAAACAGGTCAGGAGTTGTGAGCATACTGGTGGGTGAGTAATACTGCGCTACAAACCAAATATATGGAATTATGTCTAAAGCTGAATTACTGCTCTCCAGGAGAAGCTGGAGCACTGTTGCCATGACTATCGCGTTTGTGAGGGAGACTCTCACCTGCATCTTGGAGCACTCTGCACCAGCAGCCTCTGCACTCGCTCCTCCCTCTGGAGGTCCCAAATGTCACCCTGACACCACCTGTCCCCTCAGTACGCTCTGTCCTGGCAGAAGTGAGCAAAGGGTCAGAGACGGGGGGAGACCTCGGGGATGCTGAGCATTGTGCCAGACTTAGGTGAAAGGCTCCTGGCCCTGGGCGGGGGGGGCTGCGGTGGTACCCTGGTTCAACAACAGTGTTTGAAGCAGGCGCCTTATTAATGATTGGAAATTGGACGTGCCCAAACAGATGGGGAAGGGGAGTGGCAAGACTGAGGGCTGGGACAGCAAGGCATCACACTGGAAAACCACTCTCTGGCACCAGTCTCAGCCCCCTCTCCCCACAGCGGGTTAGGTGCTTGGAGATCTCTCTATGCTTTGCTACATTCAGCTGTTAAATAAGAACAGTGATCCTTATGTCACAGAAGGCCACATATATTTTATTTACAAATTCTTGTGATAGAAGGCATTGCACAATGGGAAGTGGAGCTTCATATGTCTAATGGTGTGTTTGGCTTTCTCTGTCATAGGTTATTAGTGATTTTAAGTTTTCCTTTGCTCTGCCTGAAGGCCTATGCAGACTTCTGCAAAAAAATTCTGAGACTTATTAACTGGAATAAGCCGTTTTCTGTTGGTTTTTTTTTTTTTTTTTTTCTCTTAAAACTACAATGGTATTGCAAAATTTCTGGCACCTGTCTCAGATCTTTCCCAATCAACTTGGCCTGTGGAAAACGTGAAGTCTTGTGCCTGTCACCTCGTCCTGCACTGCATTCAGCCCTTAGAGAAAGGGCAAGGTAAAAGCAGCAGCTCTTCCTTCTCAGAAAACCATCAATATCTCATTTGGCATAACCACTAAAAGGGGAAAAAAAAAACCCAAAACTGAGATAAGGCAGCTTCTCCTCATATTTCAATTCAATTTCATATTTTCTCCTCAATTTCTGGCTGACAGCCAGAGTTGGGAAGGACAGTGCCTGAGTGCCCAAGGCACTAGTAGCATAAACCCAAGAGATTTATAAATCTTAAGTAAGCTAAGGCAATCTGTGGAGAACAGTTTTAATAAGCTCAGTGTGGTTAGCATTAAAAACCAAGCAAACAGCTCCAATCTGCTCTAACTGAACTTCTGAGGCATGCTTGCGAGAAGCCCTAGTAAAGTGTATATTAGTAATCCAGCCTGCATAAAAAAATGGAGTAGATGCTCATATGCTGCGGCAGTGGAACAGGCAGCCTCGATAAGGAGGGAATTGGTTACATGGGTGTCTGTTGCAGACTTGCTCAGAAACGTGAAATCACGCTGTTAAAGGCAAGTGGTGAAGGGCTTGTGGGGTTTCCTCAGGCGGGTCAGGTGTCTGGAGGGCAGGATGCAGGGCAATGCCCAGGGGTTGGCTGTGGCTGATGGCAGCTTCAGAAGGAGAAGAGCCACTACCGAAATGACTCCCGTCTTTCTTTCAGAAAACCATCAGAGAGACAGACAGAGACACCCCTCCACAAGGGAACTGAGAAACTCAGCAGCCAAGCCGAGCTGAGTCATTTAAAAAAAAAAACCAAACCTCTGCCTCCTAACCTAGAATTAAGCCAGGCTTGGAAATAGTTTTCCTGTTAGCCCGTGCCCTCTCTTTCTTCAGGGTCAAGCTAGACTCGGTAATCAGAGGCAGATTAACAGAAGAGTCCCTAGTCACAATTTAATAGGAAGCTACTCCCAGAGATCTTCTTGCTAAAAGGCCACACACTTGCCCCTGACCAGCTGCTTATGGAAATGGTCAGAAGGCAGAAAATGAGAGCAGACCTCTCCAAAGCCCATACGCATGTGACTGCGTGCATGCGTACACACACACCCCCCCACGTA